AATAAGAAGACGGCGCACTCGTTCGAGCAGGTGCTCGCAGACATCACCGAAGCCATCAAACTGGACTCCGGCGTCGTGAAGAGACTCTACACGCTGGACGGAAAACAGGTGCGGCTGCCAATATACACCTCTTAAAATAAAAAAATCTGCATTTATTTTGCACAAACATAAAAGGATATAAGCTCTAACACTTCTGTTCATCAGTCAGACAGGTTCGGTTCATGCTGATCGGCTCAAAGCGGCCACATGTCAGTTTGTTAATCAGGCTGATCAATAATCATCTATTAGTAATGCATCCTGCTCATGGATTATTCTGAGAGCATTTGCATTTCCTTAAGAGACTCAGAATCAATGCTCGAGCATTACTTTAGTTCTATTTTTATACTGTTAATAGTATTTACTGCTATTTTGAATTAGCTTTTATTTTATATTGTCAGTTTTAATTTTAAAAGTTGTAGTAATTAAATTTTTGTTTTAGTGTTTTTATGTTTTAGTAATTTTAGTACTTTTTAAGTTTTCCTAATAGTTTTCTAATATTTAATTTAATTTTAATTATTGAAAACTATATTCAATAGTTTTAGTGAACAATAACAACACAAAAATGACTATTTAAAGCGATCGTTTGCCCAGAAATTATAAATTTGTCATCATTTACCGTCCCTCAAATCATTTAGATTCATTTGATTTGATTTGATTTTGTTTTGTTTGTCTCAGACTTAAGATTTAGGTGAAAAACAAATTTAATTTTATATATTATTATTAATTTTATACATTACAAATTTTAAATATAGACAAACATTAAATATATTTATAAATTGTTAATATTATTTAAATATATATAAATTTAAATATGAAGATTTAGGTATATATATTAAATTGTGTATATTATTATTTATTTTATATATTTCAAATGAAATATTTAAATATATTTATTTAAATATTATAAAGATTTAGGTAAAATATATTAAATAAAATTTAATTTATGTTATATATGTATAAATTGTATTGTGAATATCAGAAATTAAAAAATATTAAATATTTATCATTTTTAAATATAATTTCAATATTTAAATATATTTATTTAAATATCAAGATATTGATATTAGGAGAATAACAAATTTTATTTTATTTTATATATTATAAACAACAAACAAATTTTATATATTATTATTTCTTTTATATATTACAAATTTTAAATATAATCAAGTGTTGATTATATTTTAATATATACATATAATTATTTAATATATTTAATAAATTAAAAAAAAAATTTACATGAAAATATTGAATCTTGAAATTTCAGTCTGTTCCGACTTACAATACAGTGCACAAGTCACTTTTATGATGCTTTATGGTCGTATTTGGAGCTCAGTAATGCTTTCATCAGATGCAGAAGAGCAGTGTGAACATTATCACTGCAGAACAGGAGCGTTTCACACACAAAGTCAGTCAGAAGTGATGAGAAACACTGAATAATGAATGAGACGTTCTCTGTCTGATCTTCCAGAACTTCCCATCTGACTCCATTACTGCGGAGATTCACAGAAAACATAGCAAATTAAAATACTGCTGTAATTAAACATAAAAATGCAGAATGAAAATAAATTATTTAAAAAACAAGACAATGCAAAATTAAAATAAATTAAAAACAAAACTTAAAAATCAATTAAAAACATTAAAATAATTCTAAAATAAAACAAATGTAAATTTAAAAATGATGTAATATAAAACAAAAGATGTCAAATTAAAATAATTCATTTTAAAACAAATACAAATGTTAAACCATTTTATAATAAAACAAATAATATTAAAATAAAACAAAAGTAAAATGTATAATTTAAAAGCAACAAAATATTAAGTTAAAATAAATCACTTCAAAATTAAATCATTTTACAATAAATAATTACAGTAAAACAAAAAAGTACAAATAAAATAAATACATTTAAAACAAAACATAAGTGTAAAATTAAATATAAAAAAAAAAAAAAATGTAAAATTAAATTATTTAATTTTAAAACGAAACAAAAATATAAAATTAAAATAATCCAGTTCAAAACAAAACTCACAATGAAACACTAAACAGATATAAACAGTGGGTTAAGCTGCATGAGCATTAACCGTCAGTTTCTGCAGTGAGTCCCACAGTAAATTACACTGCTGTCCGGCTGTGACGGGCTAATAGAGAGAGTGTGTGTGTGTGTGTGTGTGTGTGTGTGTGTGTGTCAGTCTGGTGAGGGCCGGTTGCCGTGGTAACCTGCATCTCCCCGCTGGCCCCAGTGAATGTGAATGTGAGCTTCATCTGTATGCCACACGCCTCTCGCTGCAGACTCACACAGGGCTTCCCTGACAAACCTCTGTCGCTCGCGGCAACAATCAATCAAACCATTAATAAAAATCATAGACATATATAAAAACAAAAATGACAGAGACACAACAAATTGCTAAAACTTAAAAACTAAAATGGAAAATATTAAAATAAAAACTGATTTCAAATATTAATAAAAACTATAATAGTACCTCAGTGATTTTAAAGGGGTCATATGATGTTGCTAAAAAGAACATTATGTTGTGTATTTGGTGTGATGAAATGTGTTTATGCGGTTTAAGGTTAAAAAAACACATTATTTTCCACATACTGTACATTATTGTTTCTCCTCTATGCCCCGCCTTTCTGAAACGCGTCGATTTTTACAAAGCTCATCG